ACTGACACTGACATCAATAGTGACACCAATACAGTGATCAGTGCTAATACTGTACACTGCCGCGCTGTACTAATGACACTGGCTGGGAAGGGATTAACACATAGGGTCAATCAAAGAGTTAACTGTGTGTCTAACAATGTGTAATGTATGTAATATGTGTTGTTAGTAAATGCAGGGCTCTGTACTGTGATTTACTAAGCTGATCAGCAGGTCCTGGTCATAAATCATTGGCTGGGACCTGCTGACCGACTTGTACTGTACCGAATGACTGCACAGATTGGGCAGCAGGGCCGCCTGGATGCAGTAAAAAGGCTGTGGGTAGTCCTTAAGCGGGTAAAGTAGCTGGAAGACATTTCATTTCCCAAATGCTATATAATAATTGCTGTGTTTTTTTTTTTCATAAAATACTGTTGTAATGTTTTTTAAAACTTTTTTTATATCTCAGTGTTGCTAATCTCCTCCAGCCTCTTCCTTTGTACATGCTCTTATTCCATTGTTAGCTGCATATCATAGCTCTGTGCTGGCTGTGTGTCGGTCGCCTGGCCACTTGTAGTCTACATCGGGAGGATTATGTAATAGAGTGGCAACAAACGAGAACAATTTGAGAATAATTTGACAACAAGTTTTCACTTCATAATGGGAAATGTCTGAATAAGGACCTTCATGACAGGATCACGGGTGACAAGTTGCAGATTTAAAAATATCGAAAATAACATTTGAAATTATGTTGCCATACATGAAACTTTAGTGATTAGGTTTTAAATCTACTTTAATTCTTCATGAAACTAAATGTTTTTGGGACCTGAGATTAATATCAGCTGGTGACAGAAAGTAAAAGGAAAAGAAAAATTTTTGAATTGTTAGACTTGTTTTCTTGTTTCTGGAACAGAAAGCGATAAGAAATCTCCCCAACATGAACACAGAAAGCAAACAATTAACAAACGTTGTAACCTTTCCCTACTCTATCTAAAAAAAATGAAAGTTTTGGTTATACATACACTTTAATTGAAGACTAACATTATTATTATTATTCAGGATTTATGTATAGCGCCAACAGTTTGCGCAGCGCCTTACAAAATGAAGGTAGACATTACAGTTACAATACAATTTGGTACAGAGGAAACAGAGAGCCCTGCTAAATTAGATCTTACAATCTAGGGGAAGGGTTGAGTGATACAAAAGGTAATAGCTGTGGTGGGGATGAGCTGATGGAGGAAGTACAAAACAGATTACTAGTTAAAGCAGGGTAGGCTTCTTTAAAGAGAAAGGTTTTCAGGGATCATCTAAAGGTGGATAGATTAGGAGATAGTCGGACAGATTGGGGTAGGGAGTTCCATAGGATGAAGGTGAGCATGGGAGGAGGTGACACGGGAACAAGAGAGCATAAGGTCTTGGGAGGATCGAAGAGTGCGGTTTGGTTGATATTTTGAGACCGGGTTGGTGATGTAGCTGCGGGCAGAGTTTGTGGATTGCTTTGTAAAGTTGTTGTTAGTATTCTGAATTTTATTCGTTGGGTGAGTGGAAGCCAGTGGAGAGACTGGCAGAGAGGGGTAGCAGACAGCTGAACGTGTTGGTAAGGTGGATGAGCCTAGCAGCAGCATTCATGATGGACTGGAGAGGGGATAGCCTATGTAAAGGTAAGCCAAATGTGGAGGGAGATTGCAGTAGTCGAGGCGAGAGATGACCAGGGGAGATGTGAATTAGAAGCTTTGTGGTATCATTGGTTAAAAAAAGGGGCGTATTCTGGAGATGTTGCGGAGGTTGAGGCGGCATTATTTAAACAAGGATTGGATGTGGCCTGAAAGGATAGTTCAGAATCCAGGGTTACATCTAGCACCCTGGCATGCAGGGATGGGTTGATAGTTGTGCTATTGATCTTGACTGAGAAATCAGAGGACAAGGCACATGGGGGAGGAAATATTATGAGCTCATTGTTTTGGATAGATTGAGGTTTTAGAAAGTGGTGTGACATCCAGTCTGATATGTCTGTTAGTAAAATCGGTGATACTTGAGGAAACTGATGGGGTGAGCTGAGGAGTAGAGAGATAGATTTGTGTGTCATCAGCATAGAAATGGTATTGGAAACCATGGGAAGCTAATCAGCTGACCCCAGGGAAGAAGTGTAGATTGAGAATAGGAGAGGTCCAAGCAAAGAACCCCGACAGTAAGAGGAGTAGAGAGAAGGAAGTAGAGTTGTAAGTGACACTGAAGGTGTGGTGAGATGTGTGGTGCGATTCGAACCAATGGAGAGTACAGTCACGGAGGCTAAGTAGAGTTTTTTGAGGAGGAGGGGGTTGTCAACTTCAGGGTCCCTGAAGAAGTCATGTGACCTGTGATGCAACGCATTGGGCGGAGCCTAATGATGTCACTTCCGGCCATGCTCAAATCGGCCCAAGTGATGTGAGGAACCATTTTGATTGATGACTATGATATGCTTTTTGATTCATTACTTTTGCGAGTGCAGTTCATACTTTATGGGGCTGCACTATGATCTATTCCTTTTATCTTTGATCTGATACACCTTAATCCCACTGGATATCCGAGAGCATGTTCCGTTAAAGGGCCAGAAACTAATGAAGAACTAAGGATCGGCAGTGGAATAAGCAGAATCTAATATCAACCCTAAGCGTGTATGGCCTATCTGTTAGGTCAGGGAAGAAGGTGAGTGCATGGTGCACCTACCTGGTGATGGAAAAACACCACAATATAGTCGGCACGGTGGAGTAATGCATATGATGTTTCACTATAATTCAGAGTCACATATAATTTGTCAAATGTGAGTGGATACTGTAGCATGTTTAATTTTTGGTTCTACAAAACGGTGTTGCACTATGGTATGTTTTTTGTTTTATTTTGCACAGATCTGGAATTTAAAGGTCCAATGGAGGCATAATAGTGGAAGGAACATGTCACGTATTAGAATTAGAGATGAGCGAAGTATTTAAAAATTCGATTCGGCTGATTCGGCGAATTCGAGGAATAAATTCAATTCGAAGTCGAATATATTCGCTGCTGAATTTAACTTATAAAAAGGGTGTTTCTAGGCTTCAGAGAGCCCTTTATATTAGTGCAGAACACTGTAATCTTTAATTTAAATGCCCTTGGAGTCTGCTGGGGAAGGAAATAATACTGTCCGGTCAGTATGACATGCAGATGAGTGCCGTCGATCTTAGAAATCACCGCACACTTCACTCATTTGGGCAGTCACGGGGCCAAAACCAGAGTGTGGAGCCACAGTGTGGCGGTGGAGGCAGCAGCAATGGGAGGGCCATACAGCACCCTATGACAAAATGGAAACCCACCAGCAGTGTGAGGAGACCTAAAAAGTGGCACATGGCACAGTGTGGCGATGGAGAACAGCAGCAATGGGAGGCCGTACAGGGACCCATGAGAGACTCTGGACCTGGCAGCAGCATGAGGAGGCGGTACGGGGGCCCATATCAGATTACGGGCCTGGCAGCAGCAATGGGAGGCCGCGTATCTGCCAGCACCCTATGACCAAATGGAACCCACCAGCAGTGTGAGGAGACCTGAAAGTGGCACATGGCAGAGTGTGGCGATGGAGACAGCAGCAATGGGAGGCCGTACAGGGACCCATGAACACTCTGGACCTGGCAGCAGCATGGCAGATGAGGAGGCGGTAATGACGGGGAGCCCATGGCAGATTACGGCTGGTAGCAGCAAATGGGAGGCCCGTAATCTGCCAGCACCCTATGACAAAATGGAACCCACCAGGAACAGCAGTGTGAGGAGACCTGAAAGTGGCACATGGCACAGTGTGGCGATGGAGACAGCAGCAATGGAGGCCGTACAGGGACCCATTGAGACACTCTGGACCTGGCAGCAGCATGAGGAGGCGGTACGGGGGCCCCATGGCAGATTACGGGCCTGGCAGCAGCAATGGGAGGCCCGTAATCTGCCAGCACCCTATGACAAAAATGGAACCCACCAGCAGTGTGAGGAGACTGAAAGTGGCACATGGCACAGTGTGGCGATGGGAGACAGCAGTCAAATGGGGAGGCCGTACAGGGACCCATGAGACACTCTGGACCTGGCAGCAGCATGAGGAGGCGGTACGGGGGCCCATGGCAGATTACGGGCTCCTGGCAGCAGCAATGGGAGGCCCGACATTCTGCAGCACCCTATGGACAAAAATGGAACCACCAGCCAGTGGTGAGGAGACTGAAAGTGGCACATGGCACAGTGGTGGCGATGGAGACAGCAGCAAATGGGAGGCCGTAACAGGGACCCATGAGACACTCTGGACCCTGGCAGCAGCATGAGGAGGCGGTACGGGGGCCCATGGCAGATTACGGGCCTGGCAGCAGCAATGGGAGGCCCGTAATCTGCCAGCACCCTATGACAAAATGGAACCCACCAGCAGTGTGAGGTGAGACCTGAAAGTGGCACATGGCACTGTGTGTGGCGATGGAGACAGCAGCAATGGGAGGCCGTACAGGGACCCATGACAGATTACGGGCCTGGCAGCAGCATGAGGAGGCGGTACGGGGGACCATGGCAGATTACGGGCCCTGGCAGCAGCAATGGGAAGGGCCCGTAATCTGCCAGCACCTATGACAAAATGGAACCCACCAGCAGTGTGAGGAGACCTGAAAGTGGCACATGGGCACAGTGTTGAAATGGGAGACAGCAGCAATGGGAGGCCGTACAGGGACCCATGGGACACTCTGGACCTGGCAGCAGCATGAGGAGGCGGTACGGGGCCCATGGCAGATTACGGGCCTGGCAGCAGCAATGGGAGGCCCGTAATCTGCCAGCACCCTATGACAAAATGGAACCCACACAGCAGTGTGAGGAGACCTGAAAGTGGCACATGGCACAGTGTGGCGATGGAGACAGCAGCAATAGGAGGCCGTACAGGGACCCCATGAGACACTCTGGACCTGGCAGCAGCATGAGGAGGCAGTACGGGGGCCCATGGCAGATTACGGGCCTGGCAGCAGCAATGGGGAGGCCCGTAATCTGCCAGCACCCTATGGACAAAATGGAACCCACCAGCAGTGTGAGGAGACCTGAAAGTGGCACATGGCAACAGTGTGGCGATGGAGACAGCAGCAATAGGAGGCCGTACAGGGACCCATGAGACACTCTGGACCTGGCAGCAGCATGAGGAGGCGGTACGGGGGCCCATGGCAGATTACGGGCCTGGCAGCAGCAATGGGAGGCCCGTAATCTGCCAGCACCCTATGACAAAATGGAACCCACCAGGCAGTGTGAGGAGACCTGAAAAGTGGCACATGGCACAGTGTTGCGATGGAGACAGCAGCAATGGGAGGGCCGTACAGGGACCCATGTACAGATTACGGGCCTGGCAGCAAGCATGAGGAGGCGTACAGGGGCCCATGGCAGATTACGGGCCTGGCAAGCAGCAATGGGAGGCCCGTAATCTGCCAGCACCCTATGACAAAATAGAACCCATCACCAGCAGTGTGAGGAGACCTGAAAGTGGCACATGGCAGAGTGTGGCGATGGAGACAGCAGCAATGGGAGGCCGTACAGGGACCCATGAGACACTAGCTGGACCTGGCAGCAGCATGAGGAGGCGGTACAGGGGCCAATGGCAGATTACAGGGCTGGCAGCAGCAATGGGAGGCCCGTAATCTGCCAGCACCCTATGACAAAATGGAACCCACCAGCAGTGTGAGGAGACCTGAAAGTGGCACATGGCAGAGTGTGGCAATGGAGACAGCAGCAATAGGAGGCCGTACAGGGACCCATGAGACACATCTGGACCTGGCATGCAGCAGATGAGGAGGCGGTGGTATGGGGGCCCATGGCAGATTACGGGCCTGGCAGCAGCAATGGGAGGCCCGTAATCTGCCAGCACCCTATGACAAAATGGAACCCACCAGCAGTGTGAGGAGGGACCTGAAAGTGGCACATGGCAGAGTGTGGCTAGAGAGAGTGGAGGATGAGACACGGGCCCCCTGGCCACGCTTGACTTTCTGGCCACATAGTCAACATACGGCTACGTTTACTTCCTCGGGCGGCTTGACGAAAAATTGCCACACCGCCGAGTAGGAAACTTTGCCCCCGCTACTCCTCACTGGCTGACTGCTACTTCCTCCGTGCACACCGGCACCACTACTGGCCGTGGTGGTAGGCTGCAGTGGAGCTGGTGCTCTACTCCAGGTGCCGTTTGCCTCCACTGACACTGCTGCGACCCTGCTGCCTCCTGGGCAACCCACCGACTGTTTTGCTCGCTGCCAAGCTGGCACCCTCTTTCTCCTGATGATGCGGAAGCAATAGCCTGATGACGACGAGGCTGCCAAGTGCGATCTAGCCTCATCATCATCAATTAGGGTCTCCGCCTCACTACTAGCCCCCCTCGGCTTCTGCGTGTGGGGTCAGGAGACAGACCTGTCTCTAGACCGGCTACCGAGCCACTCTCCTCGCCAGTACTTCTTCGCCTGGCTGCTGAAGAGGCGGATGTCTCCCCCCCCCTTCCTGACCGCCCTCTGTTAGCTCTTCCTCACTGTACAGTGGGGCTGAGCCCACAGCATGCGATACTTCGCTTGGTGAGGGAACACCAAAGGACAGGGGCAGGTAGAGGACACGTGATTTCAGTGGGCTTGCTCCCGGGCGCCATGCCAACTAACGGTTGTGTCTGACGTAACCACCGACCGTTTCCCCGGCTGTAGGTGTCAGAGGTGACCTGGGAAGAGGAAGACGACCGAGCCAACCAATTGATGACGGCAGGGTTTGTCGGTGGAGACACGACCGCTGGATGACACCGGGAGCACTGGCCTCTGGCTGCGACTAGTGCTGCCTCGACCCCTTCCTCTGCTGCCACGTCTGCTGATGCGCTCCGTAAAACATGGCCTCCTCTGACACTCCTCTGCGTGTTGTCTGACATACTCTTTAATTCAACGATTCTGTGTCCCTCAGTAACGGGGGGGGGGGGGGGGGGGGGGCATTCTGTGTCCCTGAGTAAACAGTTCTGTGTCTGTCCCTGAGTAACAATTCTGTGTCCCTGAGTAACAATTCTGTGTCCCTCAGTAACAATTCTGTGTTCCTGAGTAAACAATTCTGTGTCCCTGACAGTAACAGTTCTGTGTCCCTGAGTAACAATTTTGTGTCCCTGAGTAACAGTTCTGTGTCCCTGAGTAACAAATCTGTGTCCCTGAGTAACAATTCTGTGTCCCTCAATAACAATTCTGTGTCCCTCAGTAACAATTCTGTGTCCCTCAGTAACAATTCTGTGTCCCTCAGTAACAATTCTGTGTCTGTCCCTGAGTAACAATTCTGTGTCCCTCAGTAACAATTCTGTGTCCCTCAGTAACAATTCTGTGTCCCTCAGTAACAATTCTGTGTCTGTCCCTGAGTAACAATTCTGTGTCCCTCAGTAACAATTCTGTGTCCCTCAGTAACAATTCTGTGTCTGTCCCTGAGTAACAATTCTGTGTCCCTGAGTAACAATTCTGTGTCCCTCAGTAACAATTCTGTGCCCCTCAGTAACAATTCTGTGTCTGTCCCTGAGTAACAATTTTCTGTGTCCCTCAGTAACAATTCTGTGTCCCTCAGTAACAATTCTGTGTCCCTCAGTAACAATCTGTGTCTGTCCCTGAGTAACAATTCTGTGTCCCTGAGTAACAGTTCTGTGTCCTGAGTAACAGTTCTGTGTCCCTGAGAAACAATTCTGTTGTCCCTCAGTAACAATTCTGTGTCTGTCCCTGAGTAACAATTCTGTGTCCCTGAGTAACAGTTCTGTGTCCCTGAGTAATCAATTCTGTGTCCCTCAGTAACAATTCTGTGTCTGTCCCTGAGTAACAGTTCTGTGTCCCTGAGTAACAGTTCTGTGTCCCTGAGTAACAATTCTGTGTCCCCTCAGTAACAATTCTGTGTCCCTCAGTAACAATTCTGTGTCTGTCCCTGAGTAACAATTCTGTGTCCCTGAGTAACAGTTCTGGTGTCCCACTGAGTAACAATTCTGTGTCCCTGAGTAACAATTCTGTGTCCCTAAGTAAACGATTCTGTGTCCCTAAAGTATCTGTGGGCCCTAACTCTGTCCCTAATACAGAGAGGTCTGTCTCTCTTGAATGACCAGGAGGCAAATGGAGAATTGTAAGATGGCCGCAATTTATAGCTCCACCATTACAACAGTGCTGTGCTGGCTGGCTGCTGATTGGCTAAATGCGATCACATGTCATGAATGAATGCATTATGGGTCAGCGCGCCTTGTCTGCGCGCCTTCCCAGAGATCCCCGCTCCCGTCGCCACACATGTCGCCGCCATTTTTGGAAAAATTTCGATTCGCGCATCCGAAGTCTGCTAATTTTCGGATTCGAAATATTCGAAACGAATTCCACTTCGCCAAGTTCGATTCGCTCATCTCTAATTAGAATCTTGGAGACACGTTTTCCTTATAAAGCATGTTTTGGATTATTATAATTTATAGATCAATGGTCAAGGTGAGCAGGGAGTGGGGCCACAATTCAAGCATGGTGTTGATTATTGCTGGATGATGACGCAACATATACTGGATTGAACGTTTATTATCATAACGTTGTTACACAATCTTTTTGGACTGTCATTTTATGTTTTCAAAGCTAATGGGTTTATTTATTAGGAGATAGCATACCACATTTTTTTCCTTTAAAGTGCACAATCTATTTGCCTTTAGTAAATCAACCCCATTGTGTCATGTTTGATAGATTTTTTTTTTTATTAGAAAAACAAATGTTTTCTGAAAGCTTGTTGGCACCCTGTGAACAACAAATAAAGCCAGTTAATCCTGTTTCTGCTAGAAGAGGGAAGTGGGGTATGTCCCTCCTTCTTAGTCATCCAGATGGCTGTGCAACTTAATCTCCTTAATTTTACAGAACAAGCATAATAAATGAGATAAAGGGAATAAAGAGAAATCTTTTGATCTTGCCCAGAGCTCTCTAATTTAAATATGAATTATTCAAATTTAGTATTTAGTATCTAATTAAAAAGAAAAAAAAACTCAAAGAGCATAATGATAAATACTATATATATATATATATATATATATATATATATATATACACTATAAATTCATTTTTACGGTAAATTTTAAAACCCAAAAAAGCAGTTTTTTTCTAAACTGTCATCTACTTTGCAGTCCAGTGTTTAAGATGCCACTTTATGCCAACCTGACAGGTTAAAACGTGATTGGAAGCTTCCTATATTTCTGGAACAGAAGATAAGATTTATCAGAGCTTAAATAAGTCACATCATCTTTGAACTGCTTGCAATTAGCAGGAAATAAATGTTTTATTTTTTATGAATTATTTGCATTTTCTGAATTCATTTGTGTGAATTATAGGGATTGGGATGTGGTTGGGAAGGAGTCTTAGGTTTATCCAAATGCAATTGTCTAGGGCTACAATAAAAAACTGTTCTCACAAAATGTTCATTTTATCTTTAAGTTTGACCTCTGGGGAAAACTAAACCAAACTTCATCCATCTCATACACCCTTACTTTTTCAGCATTGTTTTCTTCATTTGTAACTCTGTTACTTAAAGCGGTAGTAAAACCAAAAGCAGACATTTATTATGTTGCAGCTTACCAATTCTTAGATGTGATGGCTGCACTTGTTTTCTTTTTTTTTTTTAGGTTTTCTTTCTTTTATTTCCACTTGATGATCTGGCCAGTAAGTCTTTTATTTTTGAACAGAACAAGCTGTCCTGCAGATGTTGTGTAAAACCATTTACTGCTGACAGGGGTGCTTGCAATGATCAGCTTTTATTCATTTGTGTAAAACCTTTATGGAAAAAGGATAAAACTGATACTGTAACTACTTGTGCACCCAATATGAAGATCCTTATCCAGATGACAAACCTCCACGCCACTATGGAAACCAAAGAAAGGGCTAATATAGTGTAGTAGGTTAATTTAAAACATTCTCAACAAACACATATGCATTATGTTTAAATTTTTTCTGCACAATAAAACACCCAAGGAGAACACCACTGCTCTACTCAACCTGGAGCCGGCGTGTGTTCCAATAATCGGATGTTCAGGACCGGAAGTGAAGTGACTGAAAGTTGCGCCTCGACGTATGTTTCATCAAGTGACGTCATAAGGAAGCGTTTCCTGATGACGTCACTTGACGAAACGTACATGGAGTGGAGGTTTTTCTGGATAAAGAGCTTCATATTGGGTGCAAGTGGTGGAACATCCCTAAAACATACAAGTGATTAATGATCTTCTTTTTAAATAAATATGTCAATGTGGTCTGGTGAGTACCATATTTTTCGCTCCATAAGACGCACTTTTTTCCCCAAAAAAATATGGGGGAAAATGTCTGTGCGTCTTATGGAGCGAATACTGACCAGTCCTCCACCTGTCACTGCTGCCATGTTAGGGCCAGCGGCTGTCCCATCCCACTACAGGCTGTCACCGAAGTTCACCCTACCTTATACCCTCTCTCTGCGGGCTGTCCCAGCAGCTCTTCATAGCAGGCAGTCCCCTCGCTGAACCCAGCCAGCTTTCTCTGCAGTCCGGTCCATCCTGCAGGCGTGGCCTGTCCTCGGAGCTCCTCCCCGCTCCTGGCATGTCTATGTACTACGCTCCCTGCTCTGCAGTCTGGTCCGGTCTGCAGGTGTGGCCTGTCCTTACAGCTCCTCCCCGCTCCTGGCATTTGTCCATAGTGCGCTCCCTGCTCTGCAGTCCGGTCCTATCTGCTGGTGTGGCCTGTCCTCGAAACTCAGTGCGCCCCCTGCCTTCTATAGCCTGCCTTCTGTAAGTTAAAAATGACAGATACTTGGAATTCTAGTCCTTTTCCTTGATGTATGGTGTCAGATCATTTGATATTCTGGGTGGAGGGGCCCTGTTGGGACTTTATATGATGTACTATATCTGCAGTCTCTGGTCATCTCCTGTACTGTGTCCGCAGTCTCTGGTCATCTCCTGTACTGTGTCCGCAGTCTCTGGTCATCTCCTGTACTATCTCTGCAGTCTCTGGTCATCTCCTGTACTATGTCCGCAGTCTCTGGTCATCTCCTGTACTATGTCTGCAGTCCATTGGTTCAGAATATTTTTTTTCTAGTTTTCCGCCTCTAAAACTTAGGTGTGTCTTATGGTCAGGTGCATCTTATGGAGTGAAAAATATGTTAATTTACTCTTATGGGCACAGTTGATGGAATCTGTATTTGGTGGAGGTGAAATCACAAGAATACATTTTTAAGAAAGTAAAAGGACTTTTTGTTATTGATCATATTTATGCATTTATTTGTGATCTATGTGTGAATGTTTAGTTATTTATCTTAATTGTTACACAGGATACAGCTTGATAGCATTTAGGGACTAGTGCCCCCTCAGGGTTTTGATAGATAACTCATAGTACTTAGGAAATCCATTGTCACAAATTACATGTTGATTTGTACATTTGAACCTCAGCTTTAGCCATTAATTTAAAATCTGGAGATAAAAAAATTCTCTAATACCCATCTTCAATCTGGAGCTGTGCTGCACAGTGCATTTTATTTGGCCCAAGATGTCCTTAGTCTTCTGAGCTCAATAACTCCCTGTACCATTCATCCCAGAAAACCAAGGACAGGCTGACAGTGCACGGTGACATGGTCCTGCCCCTGAGAAGGCATCTCAAAAGTGCTCTGTACTCATATTGGTTGTCTTACTAAAACTGGAGAGTGCAAAATCTGGTGCAACTGTGCATGGTAGCCAATCAGCTTCTAACTTCAGCTTGGTCAACTAAACTTTTAAATAAAAAACTAGAAGCTTATTGGTTTTTCTGCAGAGATGCACCATATTTTGGACCAACTTTAGTTACTAAACCCCATAGTGTACTGATGTCATCACACAATGCTGCTCTTTGGATCCACAAAATTCACCCATCACTAAAATAAAATGAATAGGAAGAGGATAAAGTGACCCACTGACCAGCAAGAAACCATTAGAAAAAGTTATGTTTGAAAAAAAAAAAAAACAGTATAACATACTACTGGGGTGGGGGGTGTCCCCTGGGGGGGGGGGGAGCCCAAATCTGGATTTAAGATGGGTATTAGAGTCAGAGAATTTTTTTATCTCCAGATTGTAAATTAATGGCTAAAGCTGAGGTTCAAATCTACAAATAACATGTAATTTGTGACAATAGATTTCCAAAGTACTATGAGTTATCTATCAAAACCCTGAGGGGGCACTAGTCCCTAAATGCTATCAAGATGTATCCTGTGTAACAATAAAGATAAAGAACAGAACTAAACATTCACACATAGAGCACGCATTACAATTTCTCTTTAAGAAAATGAGGAATAGTGCGCACCCATACAAACACATCCATAGACTGTATCACTACATACTGCACTACCACTGAATTCCTTGAATCACGAATGAGATTCTGACTGTTGAAAAATGTACAATAAAGCAAAAGATATAATTTATGGAGTAGTATAAGTATCACCTTGACTTTCAATTTCCCTTTTCAAAATCTCATCTCATTGAGGCAGTTCTACCATAACTAATTCTTTAGACGAAACAAAAACTATATTAGCCACAATTGAATTTACAGCTGTGAGTTGTCTTCTGCATGGAACTCAATCTAATTTATGGAGTGTTGTGAATACTGCTACTTGCACTATAAAGTATGAATTGTAAGGAATCAGTATGGTCTGAAAGTCATTTATTATTAGGTGTAGATTGACTGGGGATGTTTCAGCCATGCACAGACTATCTAACGTGATACTTTTGTGTTTTCAGGTTACAAGTACACTTTATTTTCAACTGTGTGATTGCAGACTAAAATCACCCTCATTATTAACGTCCATCACTTCTTGGTGTGATGAATCCCATCCATCAACACCTAAAAATAACCTTACAGAACTGTGATTATCACCACCTAATGACAATGAGCAGTGCTGAAAATGTGGAGGAGCATGTGACCTCCTTGGAGGATGCAGCTCTGGGGTCTGAGGGACCTTAGGCTCCAACCAAGGAACGGAGAGACCATGGAGCATAGAGAAGGTATCGGTGGGTGGGGAGTTGTTCTTTTTTTATCTTTTATTTCAAAACCTTATTTTGCAAAGAACAAAAAGATCATTAGATGTTGCACCTTTGACTCGCGTATTACAAATGAACCCAAAGAGCACTCTACCATCCTTGTATTACATTACATCCAATATACTAGCGGGTAAAATAAGTATTGAACACGTCACGATTTTACTCAGTAAATACACTCACTGGCCACTTTATTAGGTACACCTGCTCAATTGCTTGGCAACACAAATAGCTAATCAGCCATTCACATGGCAGCAACTCACTGCATTTAGGCATCTAGACGTTGTAAAGACAACCTTCTGAAGTTCAAACTGAGCATCAGAATGGGGAAAAAGGGGTATTTAACCACTTTTCCCCCCTTCCTGTCCAGGCCAATTTTCAGCTTTTAGTGCTATCACACTTTGAATGACAATTGCGCGGTCATGCAACACTGTACCCATATGAATTTTTTAGCATTTTTTTGAGACAGAAAAAGCTTTATTTTGGTGGTATTTATTCACCACTGGGATTTGTATTTTTTTTGCTATGTAAATGAAAATGTCCAAACATTTTGAAAAAAAGTGTTTTTCTTATAAAATTTTGCAAATAAATAATATCTCATCATAAATCTTGGCCAAAATTTATTCCGTTATCTTTTTAGTAAAAAAAATAATAACCCTATTATAACCAAAAATTATAATTTTTAAACTTTTTTTTTACATTTGTATTTTTTTTTATATTATTAATTATGTTTTTTTTTTTTTTTTTTTTACATACTCTCACCCTAGCTGTACAGTGTCACCATGGTGACACTGTACTACTTGTGGGGGGTGATGAAGATTTTTTTTTTTTTTTTTTTTACACTGATTGCTTTTACATCCATAAAGGCTGTAAAAGAAATAATTTCTCCTTCTCTCTGGCTGCATTCTTACAGCCATTGAGAACTACTGCGTGAGCTGTGATTGGTCACAGCTTGTCACATGGTACAAGGCTGTTGTGAATGGCCTTGTACCATGTGACCTCTGTGATCATTCACAGATTTCACACGTAGTAAGCAATGATGTCAGAAGTGACATCTTGCTTACTACTCTGCATGTGATCACTGATTGGCCAATCAGTGATCACATGATCGGGACCGCGCACAGAGGTCATGTACGATGATCGGGTTTCCACTGTGTCCGGAGGACACAGCGGGCACTGGATCGCGGTGCTGCGCGCTCCCAGGGAGCGTGCACAAGCAGGGGGCAGGGAAGGCCATTTATAAACGGCCACCCGACCCTGCACTGCCACCGTTATATAAACGGCCAGACGGGAGGTAGTTAAGTGACTTTGAATGTGGCATGGTTGTTGGTGCCAGATGGGTTGGTCTGAGTATTTGAAAAACTGCTGATCTACTAGGAGTTCATGCACAACTAACTCTAGGGTTTACAGAGAATGGTCCGAAAAATGAGAAAATATTATTATATTTCCATTCATCCTTCCTTCAATAATATGGAAGAGTTCAATTTGGTCTCATCTGACCAGACTATATTCTCCCAGTATTTTACAGGCTTGTGTACATGTTGTGCAGAAAACTGTAAATGAGCTTCAACATGCTTTTCCTTCATCACTGGAGTCTTGCGAGGTGATACAGGCCATGGCGGTTGAATGCATTACCTATTGTTTTGTTTGAAACAACTGTACCTGCTAATTCCAGGTTTTCTGAAGCTCTCCACAAGTGGTCCTTGGCTCTTGGACAACTCTTTTGATAATTCTTTTCACTCCTCTGTCAGAAATCTTGCGAGGAGCACCTGGTCGTGACAGATTTATGGTGAAATGATGTTCTTTCCACGTGTGGATTATGGCCCCAACCAGGGGCGGACTGACCATTTGGAAACTCGGGCACTGCCCAAGGGCCTGGGGTCAGTAGGGGGCCCCATGAGATGCCCCTGGTACCTTTTTCATAGGCTTTTTTGAGTTTGGGCAAGGACGCAGGGGCCCCATGATCCCCTATTGCCCGGGGGCCCCATGAGTTGTCAGTCCGTCCTTGGCCCCAACAGTGTTCACTGGAACATTTAGAAGTTTAGATATCTTTCTGTAACTAATGCCATCAGTATGTTTTGCAACAACAAGGTTGTCTTGGGAGAACTCTTTGCTTTTACTCTTCATGAGATGTTTGTTGTGTGACACCTTGGTAATGAGACACCTTTTTATAGGCCATCAATTGAGACTGAACCAGCTGATATTAATTTGCACTGACAAGGGGCAGGATTGCTTTCTAATTACCAATATAATTACTAATATATTTCAGCTGGTGTCTTGGCTTTAGCATGCATTTTTGCACCTCCCTTTCTTCATGTGTCCAATACTTTTTCCCTGTGTCATTCCATTTTATTACATATAACTTAATTTCTTAACTTTTTAATTTTTGTTTCTTTGTATGTATGGATTCCATGGGTTGTTATTGACATATGGTGAACATTTCATGTCAATAGCACCTTTAGAAATGCACTATATTGCCAAAAGTATTGGGACGCCTGCGTTTACACGCAGATGAATTTTAATGGCATCCCAGTCTTAGTCTGTAGGGTTCAATATTGAGTTGGCCCCGCCCTTTGCAGCTATAACAAATTTAACTCTTCTGGGAAGGCCGTCCACAAGGTTTAGGAGTGTGTCTATGGGAAGGTTTGACCATTCTTCCAGAAGTGTATTTGTCAGGTCAGGCACTGATGTCGGATGAGAAGGCCTGGTTCGCAGTCTCTGCTCTAATTCATCCCAAGTGGCGGTACTGCGGTGGTATGTAAACAGAGATTGCACCATGCATGTGAGACATCATCGCGAGCGTCAGATCAAGGGCAGTAATTCTAGCACCAGACCTTCTGTGTAAATTTAAAGTGGTGACCTGTAAAGGTTTTTAAATTGTGTCTCCAATGAATATTAAAAATTTACGTAGTTTATCACCAGTTTGAAAACATGCCATGTTTGGTATCCATTTACTCGGCATAACATAATCTTTTATAGTTTATCAACCAATTGGGCAATATATTAATTTTTTGTACATTAAAATTCTAAAACGTGTATTTTTTCTGACA